CACACACTTTGATACACACTCATTAAGAAGCTATTATTTTTAAATTTGAATTCAAGGTAGGAAAACTTTTAATTGTCGATTTTTTAATAGCTAAACTAGTGAGTGTTGATATGTATGTTAAGCTAGAAAGTGTACCACTCATTTTCCAATATAGTTATTGGGTGCATTACAAATTGCCTGAGAATAATGAATGAGTTAAGATAGTATTCATTCCTCTCAAGTTAATAAGAGAAAGTATCTCTAAACCCTTTGATTGAGAGGAGACAACTTAAGGTATGTGGACACAACAAGAATAAAAGTGTTTATTCATTGAGTTAGTATATCTTGGAAATCAAAGGAAACACATCAAGCCTTAAGAATAATTACACATAGCATGTAACTTGCATGAGTTATTGTTAAAGAAGGGATTGAATTACGTAAGTGTATTGATCATAGGAAGGTTTGTCGAAGCCATTAACTTTTCTACACTTTGGGTGGCCATGATGTGTTGTTAGATATAGCTCTTAGTGTGTGTGTTTCTCACTATCATTTTGATGGAAACCTAGATGGTCACATACTTAATGAGTTATGGGGATTGGGATTTATATAAATTTAAATTTATTGATATGGGTTAATTTATGTGAAATTATTATTTTTACAAAATAAATAACTTAATTAAGTTCCAAATTAAATAGATAGAGAGAATTAATTTAATTTAATTTAATAAATTCAAGATTGAATTTGTGAAGTTAAGGATAAGAGAATTCAAAAGTGGCAATTAAGTCTTTAGTGGACTTACGGGCCAAACCCTAGCCCATATTGGACTAGAGTTCTGCGACACACAGGGCAAGGAAACCCTAGTTGAATTCCTAGACCAATATGGAAAGGGATGTGTTGCAAAAAAGAGAGAAAATTGGGAACACAACAAAAAAAAGTTGCCTATTGCAATGCCTTCCATTGTGACGATGTGCACTAAAATTGTACTAAAATAGTATTTGCAATGTCCTCTATTGTGACCGTTTGCATTGGAAAAGAGAGTCACAATTGAGGGGTTTTTTTTTTTTTTTTTTTTTTTGGTAGTGGAAGAAAAGTCTTCTCTTTTCAAGTTTTTACTTTGACTTGAAGACTTAGTTTGACATTCTAATTGAATTAGAATGGCTAGTCTTCTATTTTTACTAATATAAATAGAAGTAGAAAACACAAAAACCCTGAATTTTTTCAATAAAGATTTAGGCTACTAAATTATTCTTTACCAAGAAGAAGATCCAACTATTAAAGTGCATCATTGAGCCAACTTTATTTATACTTGGGATTATGACATTTATATTTATACATGAGGCATTTATTTATCATATATTAATTTTTATTCTTTTGTGTTCAATAATATCGATAATGTCTTTAAGATATCTATTGCATCAAAAGGTAATAACAGTCATTACAATTAGTGAAAATCATATGATGCAATAGCAACATTCTTAAATTCTTCATTAGTCTTACACATCATTGAAATGGGATATCAATGATATAATGATTATTATGTGTGATGCTTGCTAGGTGACAAGATTTCTTCTCATGAAGTCAAGTGTCACATGTGGGTGGCTTAAAGTGATGCCATAGAACTCTACATGCACGTGTAATTTGTAGCTTCTCAACTATAACATGAATGTAAGTGATCCTTTAACTTGAGATCATCATTATTCTATGTCATGACTTGTATATTTTAATGTTATTAAAAATAGCTAGTCTGAAACAATATGAGTAATACAGTTATTAGGCACATCACGAATTACATGATAGTAATGGGCAAGTCATGATAGGAATCATTTCTCTTGAGTATATGGAAGAAGATATTTTTGACCCTTTGATTAAGATGAGACTACTTGTGAAGTCCATGGCCATGTAAGAATGAAGATTTGTTTAAGTATGTTTGTCTTGAGAATCAAGAAAAGATATATTAAGTTTTAAGGATGATGACACATAATATGTGTCTTACTTGATGGAGAATTTAGTGACGAGGGAATTGAAATACACAAGTACATCGATCATAGGAAGGTTCATTGAAGCCTTCAACTTTTCTATCATTTTGGGTGGCCATAATGTGTAGATACCACTCTTAATTTGTGAGTTTTTAACATTGTTAGAGTCATCGAAACTTAAAGGGTCACACACTTAGTGCATTATAAGAATTGGGATTTCTATAAATATAAGTTTATGGATAGGGATTAATTTATGTAAAAATATTATTTTCAAAAGAGAAATTAATTAATTAAGTTTTAAATTAAATTAGCAAAAAGAATTAATTAAATTAAATTAATTAATTCAAGTTTGGATTTGTTCTAAGTTAAAGACAAGAAAAAAATTCAAAGTGGCATTTGAGACCTTGGAGGACTTATGGGTCGAACCCTAGCCCATCAAGCTAAGGAATGCACGACACATGGGCAAAGCCAATAGTTGGCACTCCTAGTCCAACATGGACTAGGGTGTGTGGCAAGGAAGAGAAAAAAGGGTAATAAAAGAAAGTCTCCTTTTTCCAAGTTTTCTATTTTAACTTGAAAAGTAAGTTTAACAATTTTAATTAGATTAAAATGGTAAGTCTTTTGTAAGGGGTGACGATTCCTAACCCGACTCATTAACCTACTAGTTTAAAACAAGTTAGGGTCAAACATTCTTACCTTGTGACCTATTGAGAAAACTCGATAGGTCACGAGTCAATAATGAGCCAACCTATTTGAGTCGTCTTTCTTTTCAAATTTACATAATTATTTTTTTATTTTGTTTAATTTTATTAAAACACTAAAAAAATCCAAAACTCTTCTATCTTAAGTCCCTAATTTTCGCCTATCTCTCATTCTTCACTTCTTTCTTTATTGCAACTAGCCTCATTTCCTCTCATATATTCCCAGTTTGAAACTCCAATCACTCACTATTTATCATCAGCCACTATTAACTGACACTAACATTGTCTCCGTCTTCATTTGGTCAGCATCGTTCTCCTTACCCTTCCTTTGCCCACTTCGTCAACTGCCATTCCTCTTCAACTTCTCCCTCTACTTCGACTTGTGAATGGCTATGTTCTTCTCCTTTCTTCTCAATTCTTATTTTTCTATTTCAATTCTTAGATCTTGAATTTTTAATTAGAAATGTTGTTGCATTCTATTTCCTAGAAATATAAATAACAGTGAAAAATAGAAAATCTTAATCTTCTATTGTAGAAATTTTAAGCTACTAAAATTACTTTATGAAAAGCCAAAGGAGAATTAATTGGGTATCACTAGCACTTTTAGAGATCCAACCTTATTTAAATCCCTAAGCATACATGTGGATTGTGGATTATTACTAAAGGAATTACTCCCCCTATTCCACTATGTTTTTCATTTAAGCCTTTTACACAAGAATTAAGACAATGATTAATTATTCTTAATTTTAGTGGTAAATAAAATAAAAAGACCATTTTACCCTTTTCTTATAGGAATTCCATCTACCAGTTGATTCCCTTTCCCTCTAGTCTTCTCTTCTATCCATCGTTTTGTTCATAAAAAAACTTGGCTGCAATTCTAAGTTTCCAACACCTTCATTCACCAAAAAATTTTTAACATATCCTCGTATACCTGTTGCAATTTTTCCTCTACAAAAATTGGTGGTATTGCATTTTTATTTAAATCAAATCCAAGATTGGCTAGAGCATTCAAGTTGATATCCAAATCCAATCCACAATAAGTAGGAGCATTGAAGTCGATATTTATTCCACAATCAATAGGGATGTTCAAGTCGATATTCAATCCACAACAAGTTGGGGCATTCAAGTTAATGTTCATCCCTTCTTCCGCAGAAGCATTTGATTTAATATCTAGTCTTTCTATCGCAAGGGCATTCAAATCAATATCCAACGCAAATTTCTTCCCCTCCTTTGGTTCTTTGTCTTCCATTGAATTTTTTCTAAATTTACAATGGCAAAACTCTAAGAACCATTGTTAAATGGAAAATCTGAAAGTCAATAAGAGTAGATTTGATGTATTGGGAATATAAGAGAAATTGACTAATCATTTTAAATACTGTAGGTTTTTCAGAATTCAAATGAAATGAAGGAAGCCGAAGAATCTTTTTCTTTTCTAGAATTAAAAACTTAGAGTCATTAAGTCTTTATTAAAGGGTAAAATTGGAAATAAAAATTAAAGTAATATTGATTTGCTTAAAATGACAAATAAATAAAAACAAAAATTTCAACCTAAAACGACTAATATTGTTGAACAGAGGGAGTATATACTTGGATTCCAAGGTGGTTTCATTAAAGGATATTAATTAGATCTATGTATCAACGAGACACGTATTGTTGAGATATTGATTATAAACCCTTTATTAATCATCAAAAAACTCATAAGAATTTTAGGTGCATTGAAAAAGGACTTTAAAAAATTTTAATCTTTGCTTTTGGTGCGCCGTACTAAATCCAACACCAACTAGACTCTCAATTGCTAACGTTATTGAAATCTAGACTTCTTATAATCCACAAACGTACATGTGAATTATTGTTAGAGGAGTTCTGTCTTAGATTCTAAGATTTATGCAAAAGTTGTAGATCAAAATTACACATAAAAAAGGCACACTTCTTTGAGATATTAACTGTAGTTTTTCTTAATTATTAATGAATTCATAAGAATTCTAACTTTGTGAATACAAGAATTTTAAATTTCTTTTATGACTTTCATTGTGTCCTTTTAAATCCTAACAGTTTCCGTTTCTATTCTCGCCCTTGAGATCTTGGGAGACCGTTATATATTTCCATCATTTGACTTTCCTAAAACAGGTTTGATTCTCCCTAGATTCAGAAAAGTCGTCTGTTAACACAAGAATTTAAATTGGTTAAATATCCAAATTCGTCCCTCAACTTTCATTTTTCTAATTAAATTTATTTTTAAACTTTAAAAAATATCAAAATTATCTTCAAACTTCAATATTTTTAATACGAATTTAATCCTTCCATTAATTAACTCTGATATAACCAATTTCTCCGTTAAAAATATCAATTTTTTTTAGATTTAATATTCCAGAGGACTTGAACTCCTCCATTAATTAACTCTGATATAACCAATTTCTCCGTTAAAAATATCAATTTTTTTTAGATTTAATATTCCAGAGGACTTGAACTCCGCCAAGAAGTCGATGGTCGCGCGCCTCATTGAGAGAGGTGAAATATTTATCGGATTTCTAAAAATCGAATTTTCAATTGTTAACAACCAATGTTTTTGGACCCGACCCGGCCCGACCGGTTGAACCAGTTCAACCGGACCCGGAGCTGAAAACGGGCCGGTCGAATACTTCAACCCGTTTAAGCAAATGGCCCGTTGAAACCCGTTGAAACCCGTCAGACCCGTCCCGCTCGTTGAACTCGTGCGACCCGCTGCAACCGGCCGGGCTGAAATTTTCATCATCTTCTCGTTCGCCGATTGTCCGCCGATCGTCCGTCGATCATCCGCCGACCGTCCGTCGATCGTCTCTTCCACCGATCTTCTCGTCCGCCGATCTTCTTGTCCGCCGATGGTGCACCGATCTTCTCTTCCGCGATCGTTCGTCGATCTTCTCTACCGCCAATCGTCCGTCGATCTTCTTTTCCGCCGAGCGTCCGCCGATCCTCTCCTCCGTCGTTGCACTTCTTCTCTTTCGTCGATCATCTTCATCTCCCTCGTCTGTTCTGCTCAAAACGATCTGTATCGTTTTCGGGTGAAACCGTGAAGGTAAGGTATAAAAGCAAAATTCAATAAAAATGCCCAAAAAAAGAGTTTTTTAGTTGACTTTAGTTGACCGATTGAACCGATTGGGTGAACCGGTTCAACTAGTTGACCCGGACTCGGTGGTCAAAATGGGCCAGCCACCGGGCCGAGTCCAAAAACATTGCTAACAACTAATAAAATTAAATTGCTAACAACTAATAAAATTAATTTATTAATCATGGTAAAAAAAAATTACAGAGAACTGTGACATCGATTAAAAATTGCTGATGTGACAATTTATACTTGACATGGCAACCGACCAAAATATTCAAAAAAGAAAAAAAAAATTCCATCATCTTGTTCAATGACGGTGAGCATATAAGGCCAGTTTAAAACCAGATTCTTTTCTGTGAGAAAGGTCTTCTTCTCCGGCAACTCATAACCTAAGCATATTTGGTTCTATGATTCTTCTTCTCTTGACAACCTTTCTCAAGAAACAAACAAAAAGTACACAGAAATGAAACTCCAACAACAATCGATGGCAAATAACACTTTCGGCTTCCCCCCTCCTCATCTTCCATCCCGATCTACAAACCCTCTTCCATCTTTGACCACTTCGCATTAAATCACTCAAATTACTAACCCTAACGTACTGTTTGGATAGAAAACAGTAAAGGGAAGGGAAGGGGTAGGGACGGAGGAAAATAGAAGGAAAAGGAGGGGAAAGAAAGGAAAGGAAAGTGATGAAAATGAAAGGAGATGATTTGTGTTAATTTTATTTGGATAAATAAAAATAAAAATAAAAAAAGAAGGATTATATTTTTTATATTTGAATAATTAAGGTAAAAATATATATATTTAAATTAATTTTAAATTTATAAATCCATCCTAAATAAGTACAATACAAGATAATATATAAAAAAATTAATTATGTAATTATTTTTAATTTAATTTAAATAGTCCTTGCAACCCCTCTCAAACCCCCAAATTAAAAGGATTGCAAATTTGAAGGTAGTTGAAAGGAGTTAGAATCCGCAGATCTCCCTCCCCTTCTACCTCTTTAAAAACCCAAACAAGAGAAAAGGGACAACCTCCCTCACTCCCCCTCCCTTATCATCCGTCCCCATCCCTTCCCCTCCCTCCCCGTCCGATACCTCCAATCCAAACAATACCTAAATCAAAAGATTTCTTCTTGATGCTTGCTGCTATGACTTACCCAGATCTAAATCAGTCATGAAAAATTGGTGATTGAAAACATCAATTCAACACAACTCCAAAAAAGTAAGAAAAAAATACTAAAGAAAATGATATTATAAACCTCGTTATTCAAAATCCCAGAAATCCCTCAACTAGTTACCTTTGTTTTGTCAATTGGCTAGCTATGAAGAGAAAGTAGATCCGTCAAAGCTGTCCAGTAGATCCGTCAGAATATGATGGTGCAGTTACGATCTTGTTAGGGATTGTTTCATTATAACTTTATGATGCAGCCATGGAGACAGGGAGAGTAGATCCGTCAAAGCTGTCCTTTTTGACAGTCATGGCTTGCTTCGGTTGGGTCTATATGGCAGGTGGGCATGCTAAGAACAAGAACACTGGAGAGGGATTAAAGAAGGGAGAGGGAGAGGGATGAAGAGAACAATGAAGAAAGGATTAGACAAGGGAGAGAGAAGACGGGAAATCGGAGAAGATGAAAGAACACGCGCAAAGACTTTATTTCGTTAATGATTTAATTTATTAATTAACCGATCCTACCATTTAATTATAACCATTAATTACATAAATATTTAATTATTAATTACATTTTAAATAACTTAATTTTTTAACTAATTAATTTTAATATTTAATTAATATAATAAACTTCTTTTTTTATAATTAACTGTAAAAATGATATACCTCTTATTACTATATATATATATATATAAATTTTATCACATCAACATTTTCAATTCATGTGATATATCTTTGTAATATTGAAATTTTAAAAAAATGACATTTTTAATAAAAAATTTTATCACATCAGCATTTAAGCCATAAAAAGATTAAATTGATATCAAAAATTGAAATTAAAAGATATTTTTAACATTTTTAAAAATTAAAAAATAAATTTAATTTAAAAATAAAAATAAGAGATCAAATTAAATATTTAACTTCTTAAATTTTACATCACTTTCACTGCACCGTTTTAAACCCTTAGGGAAATACAAGATTATTATTATTATTATTTTTAGTATGGGGGATTGGCGGTTGGAGAGAATTTTTTCAAGTAACTTCTAATCACTTCAACCTAAATTTTTAAATTTAGTGGTGAACCTATTGGACTGGTTCGTAAGAAGGAGAAATGGTTGGCTTCTCCCCTGATAGGGACGAGAACAGCCTTCGGGCTTACCTGTTACCGACACGCATGGTTTGAAATACAACATTGAATATGATAAGATAAAATTAAATTAATAAAATTAAATTAATAAAATTAAATTGAATAGGATAAGATTAGATGATTTAATGGTCCTAATATATGTTTGGAATGTTAGAGGATTAAATATTAAAATATATATTTGTTAACGAAAACATCCTTGTGCGCAAATCTTTTTCATAAGGGGATGGTGGAGAGCCCCGTTTGTGTTCTTTGTGGCGGGAATGACGAGTCTATTACCCATATGTTGTTTACTTGTTAATATGCTGCTCGAACTTGGTTTGTCTCTCAACTAACCTTCCGTCCTTCTATTTCATCTATTTTTAAAATGGTTAATTGGTGGAGTTTTGTTTTTTCTTGATTGGAAAAGGTTTTTCCAAATATAATGGAAGAAACAGCTTGTTTGTTTTGGTATATTTGGAAAAACAAGAATCTTGGTACTTTTCAAGACCATAAATTGCAACCGCAAATGGTAGTTCAAAAAGCCATGTTTCTAGCAACTGAGTTTTGTAGAGCAAATGGTAAAGACCTTCTCATTCCACCAAAGCTACATCTTAAGGATGGAACAGAAGATAAGTCACAATGATGGAGTCCACCACCAAAAGGTATTATTAAATGTAATATTGATGCAGCTGTGGACGTTAAAAATGATATTGCAGGACTAGCTATGGTCTGTTGCAATGGTAGGGGCATTCTTGTTGATGGTCTTGCCTTCAAACAATCAGTTAGTTTTGTTTTAATGGCTGAAACTCTTGCACTAAGAGTTGCAGTAGGATGGGCAGTATGGGAGTTGTGCAAACCTTTCTCTTTTTGCGAGTTTAACTATGTATGCAGGAAGGCTAACTCCGTAGTTGATTGGATGACTAAACAATGTTTTAAGAATAAGTGTCCTTTCTATTAGACCATCAATTCACCTACAATGTTATATAATCTTTCATGTATTGATGTATGTATTGATGTATGTATTGATGTAAATTATCGTTGATTAAATAATATAAGTTCTCATGAATGTTAAAAAAAAAAAAAAAAAAAAAACAAAACGACTTCATTACCGTTGTTTCCTTTGAAATGAAAATGAAACTAACTTCCTTAATTAGTTGAATAAATTTCAATTTTATCAATTAAATATTTTCATCTATTTTCTAAACAATCAAACAAGTGAACAGTGATTCTTCTTTCAAATGAAATATTTTTCTGATTTCAAGTTAAAACTGTTCATCTTCTTCAATACAACACCCACCTAGACCAAATGAAGTAGAAAACAACATGACTTTATATCCCCTACAACAAATTTGTGAAGCCTATCAAGCCAAGCCAACATGCGGGATCTGACCGGAAAAGGAGAAATAAAGTCATGGGTGGGAGAGGAGAGTAGGGAGAGAGAGTCACTGGTGATAAAGGAGAATCAAGGAGAGAGAAATCATCAATGAGAGAAGAATCGTAGGGACCTTTCTGTGCAAGGGGAGAATTGAGGAAAAAGAAGGACGCTGTCGGTGAGGGAGGAGAATCGGGGAGAGAAGAGACGGGTAGACGCCACCAGTCGATGAGGGAGGAGAATCGGGAGAGAGGTGGAGGAGAAAAAATGGAAGTTTCAGGAAATTTAATTCGATCCAGCCTTATCCTATGAGGTTATTGGGCTTAAATTTATATGATAGGTATGAAATTAGATAAAATACTGGACATTATTTATTCTGTCTAAATTACCCTCTAAACTTGAGATTATGTGGGATTGGACAAATTTTTTATGCAATCCAGCCCTTCATCCGGTGCTCCAATAGGTGCTCCAATCGAGCTCTAATAGTTTCCACTTCTATTCTCTCTCTTAACATCATGGGAGACCGTAGTATTTCTATCATTTGACTTTCCCAGGTAGGTCTCCTACAACTTCGCCATTAAACAATCATCCGGCTTCCATATTCATTTCTTTCGCTGGAGGCGGTTGAGCAACCGTCGCCAGGCAATAGACTGGGCGACATTATCGAGCCTCCTCGTAATTTGGAGATAATGATCAAAACTCCAAATCTAGTTAAACGCACGGCTACCATTAGGAGTCTTATCATACTTCGAATTATTACAAAATCAAATCTAACATGACTTAATCTTTGTCACTTATTTGAATTATGTAATTAGGGGTGGGCAAAACCGATTTTGGTTTTAAACCGAAACCGATTTTAAATTAATGAAAAAAATTTGGTTTTAATTTTGAGAATCAAAATTGAACCAAAATTTTTATAAATTAATCGGTTTGATTACTAATTTTTATCAATGAAATTGAATTGGTTTTGATTTTTATTAAATAAATATTAATCAATTATTTTTTTAATAATAAATTATATTTTATCACATAATTTATTATATTTTATCATATTTTATTATATTTTATCTATTTTATCTTAATTTCGATTTTATTTTTGATTTTTGATTTTTGAAAAATTCAATCAAAACCGAACCAAAATCATTCGGTTAATATAAAAATCGAAACATAAAAACCAAAAACCATTTAAATCGAACCAAATTCATTTTTTCGGTTCAATTTTTGGATAATCCGTCGGTTCTGGTTTCAAATGCCCAGGGCTATATGTAATATGTCATTATCTAATAATTTTACAATTTGTCATGTACAAAAAAAATATTTACAAATTGTCATAAACAAATATGTTATAAAAATACATAAAAGCAAATGAATTTTTTTATTTAAAATTGTAAAATTTATAAAAATCAAAATAAAAAATCACAATTATATTAATCGAAATTTAAATAAACATATTTGCAAAGACACTAATAAAGAATTTTGGAAACATTAGAACTGAAGAAATACAAAAGACAAGGATTACTACGAAAACATAAATTGCTCACGGCATTTGAGCTCTGTATTAGATGTTTATGCATCAAAAACACAAACCCTTGATTCAGTAAACCAAGCAACCACCTTAAAACCCAACCATTACATCACATCAAACACCAAGTTCCAATGGTTTAAGCAAGACAATATAGCTTCCATCAACATCAACAAACATTACATCCATTACCACCAAGATACGAAGCCATATCTTAGTTACTACCTCCACCAAAAAGGTATCCAAGCGAGGATCCACCACCAGGGGCAGCATGAACCTTGGTCGAAGGTCGATCCTGAAACCAGACATGGAAAAAGCCTATTACAAATTGCCATTTAACATGTTGAGCATGAACTTAAAATCCACTGATAAGTGAAAACAAAAATCTTCCAGGTGAATCCAGGGCAAACACATTTAACATTTTATCAGAGTTCAAAGGAAAAACTTTCTACCAAAATGTATTTCAAAACACTCTTTATGTTCATATTTTGGTATTTGTGAAAAAAGCATCAAAACATAAACAAAACACAATCCTGCATGTTTTGAGTCGAACAGCATCATGGACTTTAATCAATACCGTCAAGCTAGGAGAAACTGATAAAGTTACTACAATATGAAGGACATTTGCACTTAAACGCAAGAGAAAATATCATCACTTTAATGCAAGAGCAATATTATAGAATTTTAACCAACAGAACCTTCTAACAAAATTCTATAGAATTCATTTCTAATTCTTTACCTTTTTAATTGTGACTGGGACGGGAAAACAAGTTTATTTGAAATCCATGATTATAATTTTAGATTGTGTTTGGAATGAATGAATAAATTACATTAAATTTGATGACAAGTATTTCAAATCCATAATTTCTACTTACTAGAAACTCAACCCCCATCCCTAATCAAAGATATTGGAAATGAATTACAATTTTAAAAGGTATAGGTATGAGATTACTATAATGCCCTCACATCAAAACTTCATCCCTCCATCATTTAAATTATTGAGGGTATTAAAGAAAAAGAAATGTTAAATTCTAACCTCTCTTTTGCAACATGGAAATTTCTTCCAATTAATTACATTGTTTAGGAAGTGTTACAAAAATAAAACAGAAACAAAATTTTATTTCTTAAAACAAAATAGAAAACTTTTATCAGCTTTTATAAATACATCAGTTATTAGCCAAGAACATAGGTCAAGCTATAGAAGATCCTCAAGGACCTCAACCATCTTCTTTATAATCAAAGTGGTTTAAGCAAAAAATTACAAGAAAAGGGAAAATCAAAATGTACTAACCTCAACCATTACCCACACTATGTCCCACAGACTTAATGTTAGTCCTAATTTTCTCTTTTCTCTAAATTATTTCTAAGACATTAATGAAAAAAGGTATAATACCAATTGGTCTACTGCTAACTGCCCAAGATATATCCTTTTTTTATTCCTTTATTTATAAAATACAATAGTTAAAGAG